AAGGGCTATCCACCTCCTTTCCATACTGCATTGCCTAGTGCATCTGTCTGGGAGCTGACTTTGTCTGTGAAGACAGAGGCAAAGAAAGCATTGAGTACTTCAGCTGTCCCCACATCATCTGTCGGTAGGTTAACCTAGTGTGGGAGGTATCTCCTTCATCCAGTAAGGGCCCCCACACCTTCTCTGATCACCTCTTATTGCTAGGCTATCCACCTCCTTTCCATACTGCATTGCCTAGTGCATCTGTCTGGGAGCTGACTTTGTCTGTGAAGACAGAGGCAAAGAAAGCATTGAGTACTTCAGCTGTCCCCACATCATCTGTCGGTAGGTTAACCTAGTGTGGGAGGTATCTCCTTCATCCAGTAAGGGCCCCCACACCTTCTCTGATCACCTCTTATTGCTAACATGCATGTAGAAATCTTTTTGTTCCCCTTCACATCCCTTGCCAGCTACAATTCCAATTGTGCTTTCACCTTCCTGATCACTCCCCTGCATTCCCGAGCAATAGATTTATACTCCTCCCTAGTCATCTGTCCAAGTTTCCACTTCTTGTAAGCTTCCTTCTTGTGTTTACGCTCGCCATAGTCCCATTCAATGATCGGTTCATTCAAAATGAAGAAAACAACTGAGAGTGGAAGAAGCAGAAATGCTTATTTCTTCCAGAGCTTGTTCACGTCCATTCCAGTCGGGTGTTTCCCAAGCGGCTACGCCCCGGTGGTGGGGTCAGAGTACAGCTCTGCCAACTGCTGCATCTGCCTTGGCCTGCTGGTCAGTGGCATAATGAGCAGTGAACGTACGCACCAAAGCCCTACACGTTCCTGAATGGGAACCTGGGTAGAAACACAGATGGGACGTCTACACGCTGGCTGAGTGGGCTGTGACTACAGGTGGTGGGATTTTAACCAGGTCAGAACAATACAATTCAATATCCAGGAAGAAATGCATTGTGATGACCATCAGCTGCCCGTCCTCCAGTCTGCTATCACCACAAAGAGCTGGGGCAGCTTCCTAAGTGACCCATATGCTCCCGGCAGCACTGTGGGGCTCTCCGAACATCTAGCACGTGCAATGCTTGTTGTTGGCACTTGCATGTGGTGGTGAGTAAAAACCGGAGGGAAATGTCTTGCCCTAGGTGAAATTGTGAGAGCGCTTAAGACAGGCTGGGAGTGGTCAAAGCTGCACCTTTCCGAAGGTGGGAGCAGTCTGGAATGGGGTTGGGGTTAGGCTCTTCTGCGGGACACAGAAGAGACGCTGAAGAGCAAAGCTGCCAAGGATCCTTCTTACCTTGATGACTTCTCCTCCATCCACCTTCATGAGCTTCTGGAGGTTTCCAGCCAGGAGGTTGGGCTTTGACCGCCACTTCAACAGCCCCAGCAGGTCAACTGCATGGAAATACACTCCTTCATTCAGCTGGTCCTTATTTGCTACCAACCCAGGCACTGGCTGAGCCCTTTGGCTGCACCTCCAAGTCAGCCAGCCCTCCCTGTCCCCAGGCCAGCCTCCCCCACCACCGCCGCCCAGCTCAGCATGAAGAGGCACAGAAAATGGTCCCCTGAGGAAAGTGGCTGGCTGTCCCTGGCAGGAGTGACTGTGCTGTGATCCTCCACTCCCGCCTGCACCAGTCAGGGGTGATTGCACAGAGGTCAGGGGAATGGCCGTGAGGCGAGAGGAGAATGGGGCCCATCTGTGCTGGGAATTCCCTGCTGGCTGTCATGCTGTCAGGCATCTGATGCAGTGGCTTCTGCCCACCACTGGTGATGCCCAGATAGATCTGTTGGTTTTTAAGGTGACAGGATTCCTCTTTATTTTCTGGACTGTATCAGTGTGGACTCTTGTACGTTTACCTGTAACCCCAGGGTCTGGCAAGCTGGCTCTGAAGCCTGCAACAGCAGCTCGCTGGCTTCAGTGCTCATGCCCAGCACTGTGCCTGCTCATTACGTTGTCCCTATTGCTCCTGCCTTGCACACAGCTTTGCCTCTGTCCTGCCCCTGCCTCAACCCCTCCCTTCCCTCCTACCCTGCTTGCTCCAGTTCCTGACCTCTGGACTGAGTCATGGCTCTTGCTTCTCACTCCAGACCCTGGCTTGGCCCTTTGCAGTTTCCCCAGGCATTTTCCACACAGGCAAGAGGCTGCCCATGGATGCTGACACGTAGGTGCTTGTATACTGTAACCAATAGCTGTATCTGAGAGGATACCTGGAAGGGGCTAAGTTAAGGTTGTGTGGTTAATTCTGAAAAGGCAGAAGCCTGTGGGACTGTAACTATGGTTTTTCTGTAGCCATATTGGTAGGCCTAAATGAAAGCCAACTTCTGCAGCAGAGCAGCAGCCATTAGCTGTAAAGCCTGGAGTCAGCCTCATATTCCATCTAAATTGCATTACAATAGTGTCCCACTAGGCTGGAGAAGAGGACCCTGTCCTAACAGCCCCCGTCACCAGATAAATATCAAGATGGGTAGAGAACTTAGTTAACAGCATTTAGTCTGGCAAGAAACTGTCTACCAATAGTTCAAGTTGTGGAATCCACATTCTATGACTATTGTCCTCACATTCCTAGTGTTTGTCCATGTGATCTGTCTGGTTTGTCACTGTTTGTCTGCTGTATAATTGATGTTGCTAGGTGTAGCTCAATGAAGGTGGTGGGGTATGATTGATTAGGTAATTCTGTTACAGTATGTTATGATCAGTTAGTAAAATTATCCTAAAGATGGTTACTCTACCTCGTAACTGTTGTTCTTCGAGATGTGTTGCTTATGTCCCTTCTACTAGGTGTGTGCACGACTGCCGGAACTTTTTTACTCTTAGCAGTATGCGTTAGGCCAGGCAGGGAGTGCCCTAGAGTGGCACCGGTATAGCCGTGCATATATGCCCCTGCTGGCCCCAACCCCACTCAGGATAATCCAATGAAGGGGAGGCGGGCAGAATTGGAATGGACATAACTTAAGCAACACATCTCGAAGAACAACAGTTACGAGGTAAGTAACCGTCTTTTCTTCTTAAGAGTGCTTGCTTATGTCCATTCCATTAGGTGATTTTTCAAGCCATAACCATGGAGGTGGGGTCGGAAGTCTAGACCAAGACTGATTGCAACACAGCTGTCCCCACTGCCGCGTCCTGCCTAGCTTGCTGTGTGATTGCGGAATGTGTGGTGAATGTGTACTGATGACCACGTGGCCGCCCTACAGATATCCACAATTGGCACCTGAGCCAAGAATGCTGAGGATGACGCCCAGGCTCTGGTCGAGGGGCCATGATAAGGGGTGCTGGTTTCCCCCTTAGATTGTAGCATGCTCTGATGCATGCGGTAATCCACCAGGAGAGCCACTGTGCTGACCTCCTTCATTTCCCTTTGCCGATCAGCCTAATCTATGTGGCTCCATCGATGGAGCCATGTAGTTTAGACACACCCCTAGTGACAGATGATATGGGAAAAGCTGAAGTACTCAATGCTTGCTTTTTTTTTTTTTTGTTCCCCAGAAAAGGTCAGCTACCAGACTACCACACTAAGCAAACACAGTAAAGGTCACCTGCTTTTACCTCTCCTAAGGTTTCTCATATAATATGGATGCCAACCTGTTGCTCCAGCAATCATGTAGGAATTACCGAGGCTTCACTGACATTGGTAAGGTACAGAGGTCAGACCTTCCCAGAAATGAGAAGAGTGGCTAGTTCCATAGATAAGCGGGAAGAGTTAATGGAGACAACACCAATAATGAGCATTAGGAGGATACAGGATGGGTTAAAGAGGATTACAAGGGAAAATAGGAATGGCAAGGACTTGCAGCCAGAGGAACCAAGAGATAGACCAGAGAATCGCACTGCCACTAGGAAAAGGCAGGTCTATGTGATTGGGGACTCCTTATTGAGAAGAATAGAATTACAAGGGAAAATAGGAATGGCAAGGACTTGCAGCCAGAGGAACCAAGAGATAGACCAGAGAATCGCACTGCCACTAGGAAAAGGCAGGTCTATGTGATTGGGGACTCCTTATTGAGAAGAATAGATAGGCCAGTAACCAGAGCTGATCCAGAGAATAGAAGGGTGTGCTGTCTGCCAGGTGCTAAAATACGAGATGTGGAACTATTAAGGGAGACTGTGCTAGGCGGGGGAGGACGCTCAAGGAAACTGAGGCTCAGGTGATCTTTAGTGGGATTCTGCCTGTTCCAAGAGACGGGCAACTAAGATGTGACAGGATTATGATGATCAATAGATGGCTTAGGCAGTGGTGCTATAAGGAGGGCTTTGGGATGTATGGTCACTGGGAGGCATTTATGCACAGAGGACTGTTCTCTAGGGATGGACCTCACCTAAGTAGGGAGGGAAAGGTTGGGAGATGTCCAGGTAATCTCTACGCCGGATTTTAGCACTGAGAGGAAGGAAAACGAAGTAAGAAAGGATATAGCTGGGGGTAGGAGAATGTACATGAGGAAGGGTAGGGTGGATACTAGTCTAATAGGTCATATTGGAGGTACAATGTCCGGGCCAAATTGGGTAAAGAATGTGAATGAGGCCAAACAGCAAAAATTAAGATGCTTGTACACCAATGCGAGGAGCCTAGGTAACAAAAAGGAGGAACTAGAGCTATTGGTCCAGGAAGTGAAACCAGATATTATAGGAATAACAGAAACATGGTGGAATACTAGGAATGACTGGAGTACAGGTATTGAAGGGTATGTGCTGTTTAGGAAAGACAGAAATAAGGGTAAAGGTGGTGGAGTCGCATTGTATATCAAAGATGAGGTAGATTGTAAAGAAATAAAAAGTGATGGAATGGAGAAGACAGAGTCCATTTGGGCAAAAATCACATTGGGGAAGAAAACTATCAGATCCTCCCCTGGGATAGTGCTTGGGGTGTGTTATAGACCACCAGGATCCAATTTGGATATGGATAGAGACCTCTTTAATGTTTTAAATGAAGTAAATACTCATGGACACTGCGTAATCATGGGAGATTTCAACTTTCCAGATATAGACTGGAGAACAAGTGCTAGTAATAATAATAGGGCTCAGATTTTCCTAGATGCGATAGCTGATAAATTCCTTCATCAAGTAGTTGCTGAACCAACAAGAGGGGATGCTATTTTAGATTTGGTTTTGGTGAGTAGCGAGGAATTAATAGATGAAATGGTTGTAGGAGACAACCTTGGCTCGAGTGATCATGAGCTAATTCAGTTCAAATTAAATGGAAGGATAAACAAAAATAAATCTGAGACGAGGGTTTTTGATTTCAAAAGGGCTAACTTTAATAAATTAAGGAAATTAGTTAGGGAAGTTGATTGGACTAAAGAAATTATGGACCTTAAAGTGGAGGAGGCCTGGAATTATTTTAAGTTAAAGTTGCAGAAGCTGTCAGAAGCCTGTATCCCAAGAAAAGGGAAAAAA